AGATAGATAGATAGATAGATAGATAGATAGATAGATAGATAGATAGATTTGACTTGTTGTATAAAGGCTAAATACACAGTCCTTTAGGAATTAAATGGACAAGATTCAGACAATATGAATCAAAATATGATTAGTGCTCATTTTAAAATGTGAACCAGAATTTGAATTGTTTTTGTTGCAGTTTCTACTTGCAATGATGAATTAATGATCCTATTAACTCTTCTGTCCTAATAATGGACATTTGATAATAAAAAGGAAAGTATGCTTATTCTAAAAAAAAACCACACCCCTCTCAATTAAATGTATATAGGATTACAGTTGAAGTAAATCTAAGTATTAACTGGATTTGGTATATTCCTTTTTACTCTCATCCTTGTATCCTGATACCCATCATTCAGTTTGGTTCTCGTATCACTTTGATGGCATTCATGGATTAATTATTTGCTGGATGAACCTACAATGGACTCCTGGAGTAAATCAAATCCATACACCTAGAACTTTGGTCAGATAAATGATATTTGCATTGTAGATTTAAGACTGAAAAAATAACTGGACGATGGCTCATTTGCAAATAAATTTAATTTTTTTTTTAAAAAAAAACCTTCTATGAAGTAAGTTTGCTTTCAAGGATCTACATTCATGGGGTCCTAGTAATACTACTTCCATTATTTTATGATTTGCATCTATTAATGTGCCTGTGTGCACGTGAACACACACACACATTATTAAAAGTTTTAAAAACCAAGATGAAAATCTTCTTTATAGCTGTTATAAGCACAATTATAAATTTATCTCTTTCTCTAAACTTACAGCCTACCTCTCTATAATACGTATGTATATTTCTATAATGTGTCTCCTCCAATCTGTAATATATCTCTATGATACATCTCCTCTAATAATCAAAACCAGAAATCTGGTTGTTGTTTTTTTTGTTTTTTTAAAGTCCAGGAGTTTCCAGTCAGTAATAAATGTAGATATATTTTCTCTAAACAAAGAAGTCAGTTTGGTCATCTCAGCGAGTTCCATCATCTTTACCAACCACTTTCCCATAGTTGGTATTGCCAAATCTTTCCATCTTTGGGGCATAAAATAATCTCGCTCTGTTTATCATATATAAAAACAAAATTCATTACTTCCCCCCCCCCCCACACACACACAGTTTGTCCATCGGTTCTAAGAAAAAACTGTCAATTATATAATAACCTTTACAATTCTTTGAATCATTGTGTGTATTTGAATCCTATTTACACACACATATTTTTTTTCAGCAGGCAGTTTCTAAAAATAGGTGGATTTTCCCCTCCCTTCGTTCTGACTTCTTAAATTTATTTATCCCCTCGCTATGCTCTATCCTTTCCTGAATTAAATGAGGATTCGCTAAAACTTTTGGGGGTTTAGGCTGGGCTCAGGCAGAATTAGGGACAGCACAGATGTCTCTGACAGCTTAAAAGGAAGGGGAAAAAAATGTCGATTAATCCACCTATTTTTAGAATTGGGGCTGAAAAGACAAAACATAAATCTTCTCCTTTAAAGTCAGGAAAGCCATTCTGAACAATCCTGGCTCACCTACAAACAATCAAACAGCTTTTGAAAAAAATAGTAATCAGTGTCCATTTTGCAATGGCACATTTCTTTTCATAAATCAGATACAGTAATGATTAAATAAGACTTCAGAAAGTAATTAGGACTGCAGAAAAAACAATTCCTACCAACCTGCCTTCCATGGAGGATCTGTATCCTGCACGAGTCAAAAAGAGGGCTGGAAAAATATCTACATCCCAGACATAAACTGTTTCAACTCCTACCCTCAAAATGACACTATAGGGCTGATGGACAACTAGACACAAAGAGCCATCATTTCCCCAAAAGCCATCATTCTGCTAAACAAATAATTCTCTCAACACTGTCCAACTATTTACTAAGTCTGCATTACTATTACATTAATCTTCTCATCACTCCTTATCACCCATCCCCTCCCACTTGTGACTGTATGACTGTAACTTTGTCGCTTGTATCCTTAGGAGTTATATTGACTGTCTCCTGGTATGGTTTGATTGCTTATTGTACCCTCTGACTAATATTAAGTGTTGTACCTTATGATTCTTGATGAATGTATTTTTTATTTTATGTACACTGAGAGCATTTGCACTAAGACAAATTCCTTGTGTGTCCAATCACACTTGGCCAATAAAGAATTCTATTCCATTCTGTTCTGTTCTGTTCCGTTCCGTTCCATTCTTCATTCTTCTGTTCTGTTCTGTCCTGTCCTGTCCTGTTCTGTTCCATTCCGTTCCATTCTTCATTCTTCTATTCTATTCTATTCTATTCTATTCTATTCTATTCTATTCTATT